AATGCCGAGATGTGGAATGGTATAGGACAGCCTGACCTCATCAGATCTCAGAAGCTAAGTAGGGTCAGTACTTGGATGGGGGACCACCAAGGAAGACTCTGCAGAGGCAGGCAATGGCTAACCTCCTCTACTTCTCACTTGCCTTGAAAACCCTATGGGCTTGCCATAAATCGACTGTGACTTGACAGCGCTTTATACGCACACATCCGGATAGTGGGGAACAGGATGCTGGACTAGGTGAACTGCTGGTCTTACCGGTGAATTCTTCTTATGTTTCCTGCAGGATTTGTGTGGAGCTACCACCTGTGACACCTTGGGAATGGCAGATGTGGGCACCATGTGCGACCCCAAACGCAGCTGTTCAGTCATTGAAGATGACGGACTTCCTTCTGCCTTCACCACGGCTCACGAGCTGGGTAAGGAACCAAGACTGATTCGGTGTGGTCATATGTTTGGGAGGTGCAGTGTCTGAATGTGGAAAGGGTCCATTTTGGGGCAGCCTTGGGAAAATCTTCCCCGGTCGATTTCTGCCTGCTCTTTGCAATAGTTTGAATGTGCACAGGCATGGCTGTGCATGACATGAAGCACAACATTAATTTTTCCCCCCATTCAGAGTTAATCAACAAAGACTGGACCGTCCGCTGATTAAAAACCACTAGGGATGCTGGGGTCACTTGCTATTGCTTTGGGAACCACGTGACCCCTGGGTTGTGCATTGGCTTGCCTTGGTTGAAAGCACAGAGACTCTGAGCATGCGAAGGGTGAGAACCCCTAAACGAAGCTTGCTTTCCTCTTATGAGGTTGCCTTCCTCTCCTCAGTTGTCAAAGGACGGACAGATAAAAACAGCTCATTCCTCTGAGTGGAGAAAGACGTCGCATAATTGGACTTCCTTCTGCAACTGGCTCTCAGACGGGTCTTTGGCTGGGCCTACAGCACCGGAAAGGCCACTCCAAACCATTCTTCTAAGGCAAGAGGTCCCTGGAGAGATGTTCTTGGGCTGAGTCCTGGCATTCAGGAAGCTGGTTCCAGGGCAAACCCCTCTTTCCGAGAGCCAGGCTGCCTGTTAAACCCACCATGGGAAAACTTCTTGCAAGAGTTCTGATGGCTATTATCCTGCCTAGCGGAAGAGAAAGCTGGAAGATGGCAGTCCCAGATACAGGGAAGGTGAAGGACAAGGTGCTGGCTGCCTTCCCCTTTATTGTTTTCTTTCTTGGCTGCTAGCAAAGGCAAAGAACCATTTGTAGTGCAGCCCTAAGCAGAATTACCCCCTCATAAATCCATTGAGGCCAATGGGCCTAGAACCGTGTAACTCCTTTTAGGATTGCAGGCTGTAGTGGAGATCTGTCTGCCTTTGGGCTCTGCAAGGGTTTTTCCTGCAGCTTCTTAGTCTGGATTGCGTAGGCATGGGAGAGTGGATGGCGAGGTAGTGTGGTGTAGTGGCTAGTATCAAATGAGGACCTGGAAGAACCCGCTGTGAGTTGCCATCCTGCCATGGAGACCTGTCGAATGATCTTGGGCCAGTCACTGTCCCTCGGCCTAACCTGCCTCACAGGGTGTTTGTTCTAAGGCTAAAAGGGAGGAAAGGCACGTGGCTTTGGTTCCCCAGCTGGAGAGAAAAGCAGCATATAAATATCTAAATTAACAGATCTCTAGAGCAGTGGGTTCCTGTCAGGATCTGGGCTTCAAACCAGAAAGCTCCTGGTTCAAGTAGGGACCACAATTCATTCATTCATTCATTCATTCATTCATTCATTCATTCATTCATTCATTCATTCATTCATTCATTCATTCATTCATTCATTCATTCATTCATTCATTCATTCATTCATTCATTCATTCATTCATTCATTCATTCATTCATTCATTCATTCATTCCCAAATGAGAAGGGAGCACTCACTGGAGAAGACCCTGATGCTGGGCTAAGATTGAAGGTCAAAGAAGACGGGGATGGCAAAGGATGAGATGGTTAGACAGTGTTATTGATGCAACAAACATGAAGTTAAGCAAACTCTGGAGCATGATGGAAGACAGGAGGGCCTGGCATGATGTGGTCCATGGGGTCGCGAAGAGTTGGACTCAACTGTGCAACTGAACAGCAACAACAACAAACAAAAAAACCCAATGTGGTCCCTTTTGACCAGTAAAATGGCTACACTGGAGATCATGGGACCTGCATGGACCAAAGCCTTGAAGAGTTGGGTTTTTTTGGAAGAAGCCAGATTTGATGAGATTGATTGAAAATGCTGTCTGGAGCCAACCGGCAGGATGAAAATGCTGTCTGGAGCCAACTTTTGGGCTGCAATTCGGCACTACATTTCTCACGGGGTTGGAGACAACATTTGGAATTGTATTCCAGGGAGCAGGGTCAAGGGTCAGTTCTTTCTGAGGACAAATTGTTTTGCTCCCATTTTTCCACAGGTTGGAGACTAGATGAGAACAGCAACTCTCCCCATTTATTTGACTTCTTAAAATCTGTTTCATTTATTTGGTGGTGGTAGAAAGGGCCATCTACTTGTAGCTGATTTATGGTGACCAGTGTTCTCTCTAAGCTGTGTTAGTGTGAGCTAGCTCACAGTTTTTTTAACCTCTGGCTCACCCATTTTTGTCTTAGCTCAGGAGGGATGGCTCCAGAGCAAACTGATTTATGCAGGACCGAAATTGCTCGCGCACAACTTTAATGGCAGTAGCTCACAAAGTAGAATGTTTGCTCACAAGATTCCACAGCTTAGAGGGAGCATTGCTCAAGAGGACTGTAGCTGGGAAACCAAAGCGACGGCAAAACGGAAGTCCTAACCCTGCTTACGCCAACCCTGCTTAGCTTACAAGATCTGAGAAGTCAAGCTAGTTTGGGCCAGCCCATTCATTTATTTGAGGATGGCAAAGGTGGGCTGCAGGAGTAAATCTTCCTGGGGGAGTACTGGGATCCAGGTTTTCAGAACTTTTCATGAATGTTTCTCTGCGTGGAAATCTCCTTCCCCCTTATGTGTGTCTCTCCCTCCCTCTCTTAGGCAGGCATGCATTTCTTAGATCAGATTCTAGCACTGAAAAATCTACCTGCTTTACAGTCCCTCCAAGTCCAGTGATGAGCAGCAATTAATGTGGTAAACTGACATCTGATTTAATTCTTTAAAATCTCATTGTCCCCAAATCGCCTTAATATAGCTTAAGTCTTTCATTTTCTTGCATTCTTTAACACTTTCTTTCTTTAGTGTCTCCATCTAAATGTAATTGAGTGGCATGATTTAATCTCTTACCTGCATAACAGTTTGCTGGACTTCTATCATTTTGAATTGGATACTTGATTAATATAGCAGGGTTTTGCCCAGACATAGAAGCGTGGTACTGAGCACAGTAAATAAATCTCCCAAGAAGTACCGTACATTGCAAAAAAGGTAGACTTTAATTGGTTCAAGTAGATCCAGTTCACATTCAGGCTGCAGTCAGAAGAAGAGAAAGAAGCCTGATCTAAAGAGGACTTTCCCTGTCACAAATGGCCAGCTTGTCTGGCATCATGTGTGTGGGAGTATGAGGGCATTGTCTCTACAGGAGAGGCCTGCTGAGATACCTGTCTCCATGGAAGACCATGTGCAGGGACTGAGAGGACAAAGGGAGAGAGAAGGGGCCAGAGGGCAGCTCCCAGGTTAAGACAAAGTGAGGCATCCCACTCAAAGAGATAACACCTACTCCCCTCTGCTATTCTTGAGGGGAGATATAAGCAAATTCCTTATTCAGTCAGGTTCTGTGGATGTAATAGAAGAGAAATAGAAACTGTTGAGCACGTACTCTTACACTGTAAATTGTTAAATGACATTCGGGTGGAATTTATAGAAGCCCCCCTTAGGTTGGTAGCAGGCCAATCGGATAGAATCAAGGTACAATTTCTCCTTGCTTCACGAGATCCGGAGATCATTGAACTGACCGCTAAGTTTCTCCACGGTTTTATAAAACGGAAGAGTGACCCTGATCATATGAATGATTCTTAATTTATAAGTCTAAAAACTTTAAAAGTTTAGAATGCCAATTTATTTTATGATTCAGGCATCTTTTGTATGGTCAAATCTAGCTTGTGACAACTTGAGTTAAGCCTGACATAGCCACGACTATCTATCTTATAATTTCTTTTGGATTGTATTATTGGTAAATGCTTCTAATATTGTATGCCAATAAAAGGTATTTGAATTGAATTGAATTGAAGTCATTTCGTTTCCAGTGGTTGCATACCTGTCTAATGGGGATTTTCTCCCCAATAATCCAGGCATGCTGAGTTGTTCAACACTCCTGACTGAGGGGCCCAGAGCTGGAGACCCCCACTCCAGTTCTGCTTCCCGGAATGGCTGTCCAGGGCCCCAGCCCAGCCCTGAGACCTTCCAACTTGACAGTACTCCAACTTTGTATGTGGCTTTCCAAGTCTGTAACCACTGCGGATGGGGTTTTGTGAATGCAGGTAGAAAAGGGAAGCTGCCACAGAGCCCAGAGAGGCACAGAGCCCAAAGAGACTGCGCAGCACTGACATTGTAATCCTGTACCGAAGCTAGGGTTGCCAACCTCCGAGTGGGGCATAGAGATCCCCAGGGCTTTTTTTGTAGAAAAAGCCCAGCTGGAACTCATTAGCATAATTGGCCACACCCAACAGCAGAAACTCATTAGCATATTAGGCCACACCCCTGACAGCACAGGTCATTAGCATATGAGGCCACACTCCAGTGTTACCAGAAGTGTGGTCATCCAGCCACACCCACCTTTTGCTTCTTATTCTGTTTACCTTGTTTGTTGTCAAAACGCCAGGGCTTTTTTTGTAGCAGGAACTCCTTTGCATGTTAGGCCACACCCCCCTAATGTAGCCAATCCGAATGAGCTTCTGCTGTTGGGTGTGGCCTGTTATGCTAACGAGTTCCTGCTGGGCGTGTCCAACTCAGGAGCCAGCCGGAACTCCGTTCCTGTGCGTTCCTGCCCAAAAAATAGCCCTGGAGATCCCCACAATTACGGCTGATCTCCAGCCTGCGGAGATTGTTTCCCCTGGAGGAAACTGCTGGTTTGAAGGGTGGGTTATATGACATTATACCCCGATGAGGTTCCTCCTCTCCCCAGACCCCGCCCTCCCCGGGCTCTATCCCCAAATCTACAGCAATTTCACAACTCGGAGATGGCAATCCAAAGTGAAGCAGCATCGAGTTGCTCTGCATCTGCCTGGCCTCGCACATTCCCCGTCCAGTGTGTGCCAGACCATTCTTGGCTCAGCACCTCCATCCATCATCCTGTGGCTTAGGAAACGGCCACTTAAAATCTAAGCCACAGCAAAGAGGCAGGGCCCCGTGTCTGCGGTTGCCACCTGTGAAGCAGATTTAGAAGCGGGGGGAAGGAGGGGGGGCTGGATCCAATTTGGTTTTGAAAGTCTCATGGTTCGTAATTAGGAG